GATTTACCCGGAAATGGAGGACCTCTTACTCCCTAAGCTGGCTCAGTTAGAAGAGAGATAAAGCAGTTTGGGCTCTAAGATCTATGGGTCTGTCTGTCTGAGAGAAAAGGAATGGGGGAGGTCAGGGAGGAGGCGGCACTTGGGTTTGGGGTTACACAATGGTGTGAGGTTTGCTCACTTCTGCCTCCTGCCTACGCCAGGATCAGGGTTTTCTCTGCTTTCTCTTGATTGGGCTCTTTTGTCCAGTAGAAGCACTAGAGCACAAGTAGCTTGTGGGCTGCATACCTGCCAGAGGGTTGGGACCAGAATAACCTTTTCCTGTCTATAACCTTAGGTGTCTGGAGACATAGATGGAAAGGTAGAAAGATAAGGCCAGGGATTCAGGGAGGAGGGGCTCCTCTGGGATCTGAGGTTCAGAGAACAGGAACCAGGTGTTTCCAGGTGCCTTCGTGTGTTTGTGGGCTGGAGGAAAAGGGGTACACCTCCCTGAAGGGGGGCCAGTAAGCCCAGAGGTAGCCAAACAGATAGACCTAATCTCTGCTGCTCCTCTCCTATCTCCTCATAGGGAGCCAGGTCTCTTGCCTAATCCCCACATCTCTTATCTTCCAGAGGCTTTGGTCTGACTCCCAGCACAAGGGCTCTGTTTTATTGGGGAAGATTGCTCTCTGGGGAGCTGGAGGAAATGAAGGCCTGGGTTTGCTCAGCCTCTTGCCAGCTGAAGGATTGGGGTGTGGGGGGTGGGGTGTCACTACTTCCCTTTATGCCCCAGAAGTGCATCAGTGCCCCCTGGTGCTGAGCTGGAGCAGTGCCACCCTCATGGTGCTCAGGAGGGAGGCCCAGGCCCCCAAGTGCTAGTACTAGAAGGCCAAAGGACCACCACCAGCTCTCTGGCTTGGTTTTTCTGATGCCCTGTTGATTAAGTTATGTGTCATTAGAATGAAAGACAAATATTTTGCCCTCCCCCGCGGACACAGGGAAGCTCCAGGAGCTAGGGGAGGGGCAGGAGTCTGGAGGGGCTGTGCAGGGGGTCCCCCATCTCTTTCCCCGCTGGCTCAGCTGCTCAGAAGAAGCCAGGTCTGGGGGCGCAGGGGGAGGCTGCATGGAGCTTCCTTTCAGACCCTCGGGATTCACAGGAAGGAGCAGCAGCTGGGCCGCTTCTTCTGGGACTCCACGTAGTCTCGGATCTGGAAGCTGGGCTCATCCGCCTGCTGCCCGGCTCTGTATTTCAGCTCCCTTGAAGAGGAAGGAGAAGTGGGCTGGGGAGCTGAGGCTTGCCCCAGTCCCACGGCCTCCGAATGCAGGCTGTAGATAGACCCAGGGACTGGGCGAGGGGCCAGGCCCCATTGGACCCCAGATGGCGCCACCCTGCCCTGCACACTCTCCTTCCCGGCTCAGCACTCACTTGGCAATGGCCAGAAAGGCTAGCTCCACATTCATGCCCGTCTTGGCGCTGGTCTCCATGAAGGGAACTCCATATTCCTGCCAGGGGGAGAGCGTGCTCCGTGGCCAGTCTTGGGCTGCTCCCATCCCTTCTCTCCCGCCCCCCCGGCTAGTCACTTACCCTGGCCAGCATCTCTCCGTCCTCTGAGCGGATCACCCTTTCACTGCTCACATCTGCCTGTCAAGCCCAGGTGGGTCACTCTGGGGGAAGGACGCCTTGACCCCAAGCTGGCCCCTCTCTCTGCCCTGGGAGCAGGACCTCCTGCCCTCTGCTGGTGGTCTGCGGCACTGCAGGTGGTCTGATCCACCCGGGGCCAGGACCCCCTCCTCAGGTTCTTAGCTCCCAGCAGGGGGATCTCACCCCAACTTAGAGAGATGGTGGGTAACTCTGCTTGGCAAAGGGGTGGTGACCAGCTTCAAAGGGATGGCAGTAGTTGAGGTTAACCCTCTCCCATCTCAGATCTTCACCCACATATCTAGTCCCTAGGATCTAACAGAGTAGCTGGGCATTCCTGGGCTACTCAGGAAACAGCTCCACCTTTCCCTGCAGGGGGCCAATTCCAAACCTTTAAGAGCGCAGGTGAGATGGGCAGAAGCCTGCAGATAGGTCTGACCTCTGAACTGGAGGCTGTAAAGGGTCCTTTGCTGGCAGGATGTCCAGCAATTACTCTGGTGGCTGTGGGGGAGGGTGGGCCGACCCTGCCCTGGAGCCACTCACCTTGTTGCCCAGAAGCATGATCACCACATCCCTCTGGGCGTACTCGTGAATCTCAGTGAGCCAGGCCTGTGAGAGAGGGCGTGCTGAGCCGCAGCCATTCCCCTCCTTCCCCCGGCCTTCCCTGCTTCTCCCCTCTGGATCCTCCTAGGCTACTCACTCCCCCCGATCACTGAACACGATACCCTGGGCCTTCTCTCTCCTGCATCTTTGCTCGGGCCTCTCTCCAGCCCTGAATAGCTCTAAACCCCTTACAGTGTAACTCTCAGTTCTATGGAAGATAGAGGAGGTACAGGCTTTATGTTCTAGATCAGCTCTAGTCACCAGCACTCTCCTTGAGTGCCCCGTAGAGGATTCTAAGGCTACGTAATGGCTCGGTGATCAAAAATACTGTGATCGATTAGAGTTGTCTGCCATGCCCATGGGGTTGGCAGTAGGGATGCCATGGGTTCCATCCAGTTGGTAAGCTGTTTTATCTCTATATGTCTGGTTTCCCCGGTTTGCTTGCCAACCTCTTGAGGTCTGAGAGCACGTGAAACCTTCACTGTACTGTGCACAGAGTCAGTGCTTATATTTATTGAATTATTGCCTCGACTACTGGATAGTTTGCTTGTGAGGACAGATCCACTCATTTTTGTCTGCCTGAGTCACTTTCTAGAAACTTGGGCTGCATATACGGTAGACTTTTTCTGCTTGGGCTCTCCCCTTGAGCTCTTGTCCAGGGTGGAGCTGGGGACTTTCTGAACATGCTGTCATGAAGTGCACTCATGAATCACAGGCAGGGATAAAGCAAGTGGCACACAGCCTGCTTGGCCTTCATGCCCACATGCCAATCAGCTGCCCACGAGGAGTTTATGACTTCTGAGTCACAGCTCGGGTGTTTTTAGGGAGGCAGCAGTATTCCAGGCTCCACCCATTCCCACAGAGCAGGAAGCGGTCCTGCCCTGCTGGCTCCCGAGAGTGGTGCGTGGTGGGGTAGGGAGAACCTACCCGGATGTTGTCGAAGGAAGATTTGTTGGTGATGTCGTACAACAGGAGCAAGGCTGGAGGGGGAGAGAGAGGTCACACTGGGCGGGGGGACTTGGGGCAGAAGGGTGACTGTTACAAGTGGGCTGGGGGAGCGGTGAACTGCCGGAGGCCCTTACCCTGGGCGTCTCGGTAGTAAGCGTGGGTGACGCTGCGGAACCGCTCCTGCCCTGCGGTGTCCCAGATCTAGGGAGGGAAGGACAAACAGTCAGAAGTGGGCAGGCACTGTGCTGGGCAGAGAAAACCCTTGTTGTGGTACCAGGGGTGGGAGGTGAGAGGTTTCTTTCTTTGGTTTCTCAGGGGCCTGTGAGCGCCTGGTGACGTCCCAGATGGTGGTGGTTAACGAGTTAATGAGTCCTCCAGCTCGTCTGATGCTGTTTCCCAGAGTGGTGAAGCCCAGGGATTAGGGGTGTCCAGCCTCCTAGAGCATGTGAGGCCCGTGACACCAGGGAGGATTTGCAGCAAGCCTAAGCTTGTCTGAAGACATGGAGCTGCTGCTGCCTTTGACAGAAGAGAGGGGCCTGGGAACGGCTTTCTCTGCAGACATCAAACAAACAAAAGCCGTTTCCTCTCCTGGGCCCCACAGGAAATTACCCCAGGCTGAGGGCAGGGCTGCGGGCCTCCTGTGGGTGGGTGAAGAGCCTGGGCAGGCGCCCCTGTCCTTGAACGGCCCCCCTCCCCGACACCCCAGCCCTCCCAGCCGCTGGTCTCACCTGCAGCTTCACCCTCACACCATCCACGGTCACCACCTTGTTCTGAAAGAGAGAAGGGCAGAGGGAGAGGTGGGTGCTCAGGGTGGGGGAGGCGGCTTGGCTTCTGCGTTCTGCTGAGTCCTGCACAACAGCAGGCATCCTGTCTGGCTGCTCCCCCAGGGTGCCAGGGTGTCTGCCGAGCCCCGGAGATGTCTCCAGCCAGATCGCCCCGTCAGGGCGGTGGGACTCTGTCCCCAGGCAGCCCTCCTCTGTGGACGCCGTCTGTCCTTCTCACAACACACCAAGGCAAGGGAGCCCCAGAACGTGCCGGCCCCGCCCCTCCAGGGCTCAGCAGGGCACATGGGCCGGGCCCTGGAGGCGGGGGTGTTCCTGCCTCTTTCCTGCTTCTGTCTGCCTCTCCCAGGGCTCAGGCTCAGCACTGTGAAGAAGCTCTTCGAGGTGAGGTTCCCACCAGCATCTCAGAAACCTCAGCGGGCGGATCTGCAGGGCTGTCTTTGCCCTGGTCGCCCCCTGGCTCTTCCGCTAGGTGAAGCTTCCCCTCCTACTGGGAGGAGGCACCCGGCCTCTGAGAGCCCCGCTGCCAGGGTTAGGCCTGAGCTCTCCTGGCCCCTGGGGCTGTGTGGCGCTCAGAGCGCTCGGCAACCCCGATGCCAATCTGTTGATGCCAACCCAAGATGGGTTCGCCCCGGTGAGGGGGCAGGATGCCAGCCGCTGCTCTCTCCCTGTAGGACCAGGCCGGCTCCTCAACCTCCTGCTCTGCTGCGCTGCCCTGAGCTCCAGAAAGACCGGGCGCTGACCTCACGCTCCCGGCAGCGTGGGGTGTGTGGGGGTGTGTCTGCCCTGCTCAGGGGCAGGATTCTAAGATGCAGTCTCTCATTTCTCATTCTGTAGGGGGGCAGGGAGCCCCACCAGCCCAGACGCCTCTAAGCTGGCCACCTCTAGGGTGAGCCACTGCAGACCTGAGGGGTCCGTGCAGGGGGGAGAGAACAGACCCCCCATCCCCCCCCCGTGCCTGAAGCTGTGACCCCTGGTTCACCGCTGGGAGGAGGAGCCTGCAGCCACCTCACCCTGAAGTCTATGCCGACGGTGGCTATGAAGGTCCCGGACAGGAAGGCCCCGTCTCTGAATCGGATGAGGAAACAGGTTTTGCCGACGCCCGAGTCTCCCAGAAGCATCACCTAGGAGGTGGGGGCAGAGGCAGTTAATGGGGCACTGGGGCGAGATTCTGGGCTCCCAGGGAGGGCCGGGGAAGGATGCTGAGCCCCAAGGGGGCGTCTGCTTCTGGAAAGCCTGCTGCCTCCTGCTCTCCCCCACTCTCCTGGGCTCCCGCTGGCCTCCCAGCTGCTCCCTTGGACCCTCCTGTCCTCATCTGGCTTCCGGGATGTCCGAGTTGAGACCCCAGAACCAAGAGGTCCCCAAATGTGCTTGGTGGCCCCGAGTACAACCACATTCCGTGCGTCTAGATTCTGGCCCCCTTTGCCCTGCTCCACGCCATGCCGGGATCCCATCCTTTGCTGTGTGTTCCATGCCTGCTTGCACACATGGGCGGGGTCACGGTGCCAGAAAGAGAAGCATTAATATTTCAGCCAGGGATTCCTACCCAAGGGAGGGTATCAGGATCTGAGGCGGGTAGGCCTCTGTCAGTTGCCAAGGCATATTCTAAAATTGCTCGCGTTCCAGTGTTTTATTTTTGGTCACCTTTATTTGGAAGTTCCTAATGACATTTTCTGTTTGTAAAAGCCTTGCGTGAATTAGGGAAGGCTGAAATTTATACTAAGGTGGAGAGACATTTGGCCTGAAATGCTTTCTGCAGTAACCTCCCAAGTGGGACAAGTGGTATGCAGGGGGGGTTGGGGGGCGTACTGTCTGGCCAGTCTCTGCTCCTCTCTGCTGGGGGTGGGGTGGGGTGGGGATGGGGAGGGAACCCCTCTGTCCTGTCACTCCTCAAACTCAGAGAACAGGGGTTGGGACCCAAAGCTGGAATTTTTTCCAACTGGCTGAATAGATGCTTAATGGGTGGAGCAGGGACTAAGGTTTGAGATCTTTTGGGGGCCTTGACCTTGACCATGGAGCCTAGAGGCTTTCCTGCTGTGACCATGGGGTATGGGATTAGCTAACCTGGTGACAGATGGGCAGTTGAGCAAAAGGTGCATGAAGGCTGGGATCCCAGCTTGTACGTGGGTGACTGGGGGACTTTGGGAAGATCCCTTAACCTTTCTGTGGCAGTTTCCACAGTGGTTAGAAGGAAGGATGGATGATTTCTTGGAGTCCTTTCTAGAGTCTGTTAGTGGCTAGGGTCAAAAATGTTGGCATGAACCACCTGAGATTCTGGAAGCATGGCCCAGGGGTGGGGGCTGCCTGCCTGTGGCCTCATCCTTTCTAACCCTTCCCAAGGAGCTTCCACCAGGCTCCTCCTAGACCATCCAGGACTCAGTCTCCTTGGCAGGCCTCAGGTATGAAGGGGGCTGGGGCCAACTCTCCACAAAAGCCCACTTGGCCCAAGGGACAGACGGTGGGCTGAGGGCTAGAGAGCTCTTTGGAGCCTGCATGGCTCCCTGGTTCCTGGGTACCAGTACCTGATGGGGCAGGAGGGAGAGAGGGAGGGAAGGCAAGCACCTGTGTACTTTAGAGACCACAGCTGCCTTGAGCAAGCGATGCCAGCCACCCACCCAGCCAGGCAAGTCCACCAAACACAAACAGTTGCCCAGCCTCGCCACCTCCTAGGCAAACACCCAGCTGGCTGGTCAAGCAAGGTCAGGCAGTGCCCCATGGCCCAGGACTGGTTCTCAGTGGCTCCCCCTCCCCTGAACACACTGGGGGCCCATTTCCTGCCTGCAGCCCGCACCGGGGACGCCTATCTCAACGGCTCTGGGCGGGTGACTTGTGGACTCGCTTCCCCTGAAAGAAGGGGGTGGGGGTGGTGGAGGGAGGAAAGCAAGGCACAGAGAAAGCGGGTCTCCTTCAAGGTCATGCCGCAGGAGACAGGCCGGCCCCTCATCACCTCTCCCCGACCCTGCGGAGGAAGATGGAGGCTCTGGGCTCCCTCTTTCAGAGATCCCGGTACCTGTCTGCTCCCAGAGTGCAGAGGAAGGGCAGACAGCTCAGTGTCCAACAGCAAACACCCCTCTTTCCTCCAGGGCCACCCACAGAAGGAACCAGGCCCAGAGAGCTGACTTAAACTCTCCCAGGTTGGGGTACCAGTGCCTAACCGCTCCCATCATTCTCAGGGTCTAAAAATTCCCAGGTGAGTCTACTGTTCTGGCTAGCAACATTCTCCCAGAAGAAGGCGTGGGCAGCTGGCTGCAGGGGTGGGAGGGGAAGGGGTCGCACCTGGGGGCAGCTGGGGTCCTAGTCTACCCTAGGAGGAGGGCATTAACACGCACGTTCCCCCGCTGTCAGGGGGCGTCCCTTCGGAGTCTCTCCCAGCGCTTGGGGGTGCCTGTGCCCTGGGAGAGTTGCAGGCTCAGGGGCTAGCGAGAAGCCCGGGATTCCCCGGGCTCGCACTGGCCGAAGTGAGGCAGAGGGAAATGGGGCTGGGGTCCTCCGGGGGTGGGGAGTCACCCAGTACTTTCTACGCTCCTCTCCCCTCTCCCAGATCCCTGGACGTTGGCGTGGGCCCCGGGGGCTGTCTCGACCCTCCCCCGCTTACTCTGAGAAGACCCGGGGGTGAGGAGGGGCTAGGGGGTGGAATGGGATGAGTCCAATGCAGACGCAGCCAGAGAGGAGCTGGGGCCCGGAGGGTCTAGGAGCGAAGGGCGCGGGGAGGGGCCGCCCCCAGAGCCGGCACCGGAGTCCCCAGCGCTGGGCGCGGGGCCCACCCACCTTGCCCGTGAGATCGTGGCTCGGCCCGCAGGGTGGGGAGCGCTCGAGGGCCTCGCCATCCCGGGTGGCTGCGGTGCCAGGCGTGCCCGTCATGTCCCTGGACCAGAGGTGAGCTGGGGCCCGCGGCGGCCGAGGGACCGGCAGGAACCGCCCCGCCTGAAGCTCCGCCCGCTTCTTCTCCCCTCCACCGCCGGGACCCCGACAGGCTCCTCCCTCCGTTCTGCCACCTGAACAACGCTGGCGGGGAGCTGGCTGTCCCGCGGGGGCGCGCAGGACCGCAGAGTCAGCTCTCGAGGGGGCAGGAAGGCCACTAGAGCCGCAACAATCGGAGGGTGTAGGCCAAATCCAGCCTAGAACCGCTCCCCAAGGTCGCCAGCTGCCAGGGTTAGGGTCCCACGGAGAGCTGTCCCTGGGGACCCCGCCTTCTGGGGAAGGTCTGGCATCACTGGGACCGCGGGCCGGCGCCCGGGTTGTGGCTGCCCAGCGCGGCCAGCAGGCGACGCCCGAGCTCCATCCGGCCCGCGGTCCACAGGTGCCTGGCGGGGGGTGGGTTGGGGGCGGGGTCCGGGGAGCCTGGAAACGCCCCTGGGCCGCGCTGTGCCGGGTTNCGACTCTTCAGGACCCCATGGACTTCAGCCCACCAGGCTCCTCTGCCCATGGGATTTTCCAGGTGAGATTACTGGAGTGGGGTGCCACTGCCTTCTCCCCTCTGGCACCTAGTAGGTCTTAAAGTCTGGCACCAAATGATTTCATAGAGCTGTGAATCAGTTTGAGCTGAGTCTCCAGGACCTCCCAGGAACCCCGCTGCTCCTGTTGACAGAGACTAAGAGTGTGTCCAGGGGTTGCCCAGAGCAAAGTTCAGGGGCCCTGGCCTGGGCTAACCATTCAGTTCAGTTCAGTTCAGTTCAGTCGCGTCCGACTCTCTGTGACCCCATGGACTGCAGCGCGCCAGGCCTCCCTGTCCATCACCAACTCCCGGAGCTGGCTCAAACTCGTGTCCATTGAGGCGGTGATGCCACACACCATTCAATGACCTGATCCCAAATCCTACATAAGTGCAGTCAGGTTCCCATGGGACAGGGTGAGCACTGTACAGAGGGCCTGGGTGAGGGGCACGTAGAGAGGCAGGGGCCCTGAACCTCTTTACCGAGGTATGGGGGTGAGGGGCAAGGGGCAGGCCTGGCTTACGAGTGGCCAGAATAAGCCTCATGGGGACTGCGTGTACACCTGCTTCCTGCCCTGTAACTTTAGGCGCCACCTGGAGCTATTTTCCATGGGGCATTGTTATTTTTGTTTTTGGCCTCAAAGTGCGGCCTGTGGGATCTTAGTTCCCTGGCCAGGGATCTAACCCATGCCCCTTGCTTTAGAACCGTGGGGTCTTAACCACGGCACCACCAGGGAAGTCCCAGGGGCCATTTTCCGGAAGTGGGTGTGCCACGACCTCCTACCACATGGACCCCGCTGATGTGCCCTCTTGCCTGCTATTTGGGTGTCATAGGCGCTGGTCGCAAATAACGCCCCAGTCCATTCAGTGTCCTGAGGGCTCACACAGGAACCCTGCAGGCGAGAGGGTTTCAGCCCGAGAGGGTGATGACTGAGGAGGAAGGAGAGGGGGGATGTGGTCTGGTCCTCTCTGGCTTTCCTCTGCCAGCCAGGCTGATGTGGGTTGCATTGTGGTTCCCCCCTCCCCAGAGAGAAGCTCAAGTCCTAAGCTCTAGTAACTCAGAATGTGACCTTATTTGGAAGTAGGGTCATTGCGGGTATAATTATTTAAGAAGAGGTCTTAGAGGAGAGGTTGTTGTTGTTTGGTTGCTAAGTCATGTCTGATTCTTTGCAACCCTGTGGACTGTCGCACACCAGGCTTCCTTATCCTTCACTATCTCCTGGAGTTTGCTCAAACTGTCCATTGAGTCAGTGATGCCATCCAGTTACCTCATCCTCTGTCGGCCCCTTCTCCTCCGGCCTTCAATCTTTCCCAGCATCAAGGTCTTTTCCAATGACTCAGTTCATCGTATCAGGTGGCCACAGTATTGGAGCTTCAGCTTCAGCATCAGTCCTTCCAGTGAATATTCAGGGATGATTTCATCTAGGATTGACTGGTTTGCTCTGGACACGGTGGAGAAATACAAGCGCTGTGACGCTGCATCTCCACTCTGGGTGGGCTGGCAGCAGTGGGGCATGAAGCCCACAGATGTGGCCGAGAGGCCCGGCTGGACTCCTCTGGGCGGTATCTGTGGCCTGCCATGTCTGGGGCCTGTGGGCAGTGTGGTGTGCAGAGGATGTCACACGCTGTCCTCTGGGACACTGCAGCGTCAGGTGGGGTATTCAAGGGCAGCCTCCAGGGAGGCGGAAGTGAGGGGGGCATCAGGGACTAGGGGGTTCAGAACTAGGGGGTGCTGGGCAGGGAGGTGTTGCCCCAAAGGGAGGACGCACAGCCCATTCAGAGATGGGGAGTGTCTTTAGACTGGAGGGGTGGTGGAGAGAGTGGATGGAGGACACAGCCTCTGGGGAGTCCAGCCTTCCTGACAGCCTCTCTAGCGTTGCTGGAGCAGTCTGCATCCCCCCGAGTACTCACACCAGGCACACGTCACCCCACCCACTCCTAGCACCTTACCACGGACACACACACACCCCTCACATGACACACACCCAGAGACACGTCACACCCCATCACAGACACGCACATACCTGTCACCCCGCCACAGACACCAGACAACTCACACCACAGACGCACAACGGCTCACACCCCAAATACACACCTTACATCATGCACACACCTCACGCACACCCCTCAAATCACACACACCACCCAGGCCACAGAAACACACGCCGCTCATGTCATGCACACCTCAATTCAAGTCATGTAAGTACCTCAAGTCATTCTACATGCACTTTTATCAGTGAGCACAGGCGCACTTCATATCATGCCGTAAACACACAATGCCTTACCCCTTCCGCAAACACACACATCTTACATTCCCCGAACACGTCTCACCACTTCACGGTCACAGACATGACTCAACACCACTCCCCAACATGCACCCCACATCACTGCACAAACACCCTCCTCACTCACCCCCACATCACACCTTCCCTAGAGGAAGAGATCACCCTCTGAATACAGTGTCTCTCAATGACCCCAGCCCCTCTCATCACCCCCAAGTCCAGAAGGCACACACCCCACACTTCACCCCTAAGCGATCTCCCTGCCCTCCTCCTGTACACAAGTCAGCCCACAACCCCACATGATCTCCAGTATGGAAGTGATGATGCTGCGTGACACCTCATGGTGTTCAGAGGAGGGCCTTTGTGTGCAGTGAGGAGATGAAGGACTCAGCAGAGTGGGCAGCAAGAAACCCCCAGAGCTGGGGGAACACCTCCATCAGAGTCCGAGGTGCCTGACCACAGGTCCCCACATGTGTGTGGGTGAGCTTGGGATCCACGACTGCAGATAAACTGGAGGTTTTTAGGTGCATTACCCACGTGTTTGAAAGCCACCGGACTGAACTGCGCCAGACCTTGGCTGGCAGAGGACGGATTCCAGCTTTATTGGAAGGAGGTAGATGAGCCACTGATGGTGCTAGGTGGTGGGGAACAGGCGAGGCTTTAGGAAGCTGAATGTTACAGCTGTGTTCAGGCAAGACTGGAGAGTTAGGGGACATCGAGACATCACATAGCCAGGAGACCTGACCAGGTTGGGAGGGGGCTGGCTGGGGAGACTGCCGTGTGAACCCTGTGGGTGTCAGCACCCCAGTAAACTCATCCGCAGGATTCTGCCACCAGTTTGGTGGAGCTGATGACAGAGGAGTTGGAGAAGGCTTTGCTTTGAGAGCCATCCACCCGGACCTGGGCAGGTCCCACTCCCGGAAGCAATGAGCTCAGAGGTTCTGGAGGGGGCCTGGGGGCAGATCCCAGTGGTCTTCCCACTCACCTCTGTCTCCTGTATTTATTGTTATTATTACTAACTTTTTTTTGGCCGTGCGGCAAGTGGGATCTTATTTCCCCAACCGGGAATTGAACCCATGTCTCCCGCAGTGGAAATGCAGAATCCTAACCACTGGACCACCAGGGAATTCCCCATCTCTGTCTCCTTTAAAGTGAAGGTCAAGGACTCCTCCTCTCTCCTGCTGCCCAGGCTCCACTCAGCCTAATGAGCTGGGTCAGCAGGACACCCACCCACCCCCACCAGCTACCAGAAATTCTGACCACAGCCAGGGCTGACCACAGGACATTTGCACGTGGCCAGCTCATTGGAAAAGACCTTGATGCCGGGAAAGATTGAGGGCAAGAGGAGAAAGGGGCGACAGAGGATGAGACAGTCAGATGGTATCACTGACTCAATGGACATGAGTTTGAGCAAACTCAGGGAGATGGTGAAGAACAGGGTAGCCTGGCATGCTGCAGTCCATGGGATCACAAAGAGTCAGACACGACTTAATGACTTAACAACAACAAGCTGTCAGCAGTGTTTCAAGTTAATGTGCAAACAACAGGTGGACAGGCGAGTGTCTGGCAGCCCGGCTCTCTGGGGCCCCCCAGACCACTGATATTGGGAGGAGACCCCCATGTCCTCCAGCCTCTGTGTTAGAGGATGTGGGAGACTTCAGCTGCTGGGCAAAGATTCAGCTGGTCTGAGCAGAGGGTTGGAAGGAGACCCGTCTCTGGGAAGGAAACGAGTGGAAGGTCCCTGGTGCTAGCCAGAGGAGTGGGGAGGGCCTTGTGGAGGAGATGGACGTTTTCTCAGTGACCGCTGCAGGCCTCTTTGTGTGGAGCTGGGCAGTGGCGTCCGGCCCAGGGTCGGCCACGTGTCCTCCTGTCACAGGCTGTCATCACTGCGGCCAGT